CTGCATACCTACTAGTCGCTAGCACTATGGCAAAGACTGAAACTACATCTTGTCTACAGAGTTTTATGTGGCCATTTTTTAGAGTTGGGCCTCAAATTATCCTCTTGGGTCACAAAAGGTTCTGGACAAGAGTGGGTTCAGGGATGATTGGACTGGCATCCCAAGGGAACATGTACAAACTTTCAGCCTCAGCTCCGTAGGGGTTATTCTTCCCCAGAAAATGTTGGTATCAGGCCAAGGGCAATCAGTAGTAGGTCACAGGCTGAATTGATTGGATCCACTTGTCACCTTCAGGATTGAAAGGAATTGGTGTTTCCAAGTTCGTATCATCATTAAGAAGCCTTCCCCTGACTGACTGTCCAGAAAGCCTTACATTTGGCTAAGATGACTGTATTATAGCTGCACAGTTTAAAGCAATGTTGTGCATACTGGCTGTTCAGAGATCAAAGCTTTCTCTGCAAGCAGATAGGGAAACCTAAATAAGACAAAGTACCCAACTAATTTCTCTGCTTACAGTCTACAGAGTTGGGTTTTTATTGCTTCATTGTATCTGCAGCAACAAGTCTTTATTCATGTATTTTCGTTCCTTATAGGATGCTCTGGGTCTTTTTCTTGTTCCCATAGATGGTTGCAGAAAATACTCTCTTTGGCATTTGCTGTGAATCCTCTCATACAAGAGTAAGTGAAATGAGCCATGAAAACTGAAACTCTTCTCTTAGCCTGGAAGCAGTGTCTCTAGGTCAGATATTGAAGCGCAGAAACAGAAGCTATTCCTTGAACCTTTTTCTGATAAATATATCTGGGAAATCTTTCTCAGTGGTGTGGTTTGTCAAGGATTTAGGCATGTAATTATTGTTATGTTGGGTGTCTGTTGCGGATGCAAATGCTTCATGAATCACTAAGAAAACTTAAGAGTTTGGTCTATCACATGCTACTTCTGCTCTGTCGTCTAGGAATGTCTATAGGCAACATATTTCCTGTGCAATGCCTTGGCATCTTCTGGTGCTGGGCTGAAAGTTTAAAATGTTCCTCTTTTTCCCTGAGAAAAAAAGATTAACAAAATACTTAAAAGCTGATCATGGCAAGACAGGACATGTTTTGTGACAACCAGTGGTAACAGAAGACAAACTGATGTAGCAGGAATAAAAACCTGGGCAGAAATCAGCATTGAGGTTTGGCTTGGGCAAACTTGTAAAGCTGGGCAGAAAATGACCCAAAATTCATGCTGTGAAAAAGAGAAATTTAGGAAATTTTAAATAGCTCTAGAAGGGACAGGGAGATTAAGATGGCAAAGGTAAGCAAAAGCAGAAAGATAATGTCAATTTGGAAAGTGCTTGGACGAGTGGTAGGTCTGGGCCTTGATGGGGGCAAACAGTTGAATCTAGGCCTAGCTAACACATGGTCACTATCCTCCTTAGCCAGAGGGATTCGTGTGGGCCAAGGTTAACAGTGGGTCAGTGCAAACATTACACTGCCTTATTTAGCAGCAGTAAACTGGGTCTTAGCAGAGTCAACCAGCAGGTAGAGAGTTTCTTGGGGGGGGGGGGGGGGGGGGTGTAGATTACTACATGTAATCAGACCAGACTAGCTCCTTTATAGCTAGCTAAAGAATATAAAAGAAATAATTATGAAGAGTTTGTTCTTATTTCTTTGGAACTTCTTTACTAAAGCAAGAGTGGTGGCAACATACCTTAACGTCATCGGTAACTAGACTGAGTAGTCACTTTTAGTTCTGTCAAAGGCCAGGTATGTAGTTCTCTTGGCTTCCCTTTCTGTTCTGTAGGTTTGAGGGGTTTTGAGGGGAGAAGCGCAGGTCTTTGTGTCCTTCCCCTTTCCAACCCTTCAGTGACGTTATGGGCCTGTGCGTGAGAAGTGGTTTCCAATTCTGTTCCTGCAATCAGCTGTGGTTGCAGTGAATGCCCTCTGGAGATCCAGCTATCTGATGCTCTCTATACATTAGGCAGATAATTAACAGTTGTCATTTGTGACTTCAGGTTTATGTATACACATATATATATATGTAAAAGAACATAGCTGCAGTGAGGATCTCTGGGCCCCTTGGAAAAATGTGACCCTAACATTGTTAGCATTTATGTGTTTTGTTCTTAAAGTGTACTTGAAGGGAATCTGAAGTCAGGAATGACGATCTAAAATTAGCTTATTGGGCCAATTAAACTTGCTGGTCCCTTGCAGAATGATTAAATGTGCTCTCCAGGAGGGGAGAGGAAATTGCATCTTGCTGAGGACAAGAAAGAAGTGGCCCTGAAGTTTTTTGAGAGGCACAATCAAGAAGACAGCATCAGTGAAGGGTAATGAATAAAGAGCACTTTGCACAATTACAGCTGCCCCTACCTCATGCTGGGAACGCTGTGATCACTGCAGCGGCATCATTTTGTTCAGGAGAGACTCCTTCTACCACTGTGCACAGCCCAAAGTCCCTTCTGATGCCTTGATTTCAGCCGGCACTGCAGCACCCACACCGATGAGTAGTGTGTGGAGTCATTTCACCTCAAGCTGCATGGTGACAAAAGCCTCCTCCTGCGTGTGTGTGTCTCTCCTGTGTTTGGTGCTGCCTTGTAGGTTTACCCTGGGAACTTACCTTAGCTCCAATCCTGTCACCACTTGCACAAAGAGCCCTTTTGCCAGTGCGCGCACACTTGTAGTGTGTGTTTTCTTGTCCACCTGGTGAGGCAGATTAGAGCCCAGGCTGCTTGTGAAGCTGGGCTCTGACCTGCCCACACTGCAGTAAGGATGTAGATTAAAGTCAGGGCAAGGGAGCTTAGCTGCGGTAATGGTCCAGCATGGTCCGACCAGTTACTTGGCATGGGTTTGCTCGGGCAGCTCTCTTCTTCCTAAGTGAGCATTTTATCCAGGAGGATTTTAAGGACTTTGGGTATTTTGGGGGGATTTTGGGATATCTCACAGCCCACCTGCAGTCATGGAGCATCAGAAGATCTTAGGCTCTGGGTGAATCCTAACTATAGTGTATCACAGTAGAGTTGATGCCATCATGGACGTTATCAGACTACCCGCTCCCATATGTGTTATCCATTACATACTCATTCTCTGAGATGCTCCAGGTAGAGGTGGAAGTTCTTGGGCCTGAGAGGAGTTCTTTCAGTGTGCCTGTAAGAGCTGAGCCCTTCAGTGGGTCCTGGCTTAATTTCCTCAGCAGAAGAGCATGGGTGCCTCAAGCCTGCATTGGTATTACTGTGGAGCTGGAGTCACCAGGATTGCCTGGACAACGGCTGTCCAGGCAATGTCCCAGGTGAAAAGCTTCCTTAGCAAAACCTCCTGTATTTCTGTAACTGCTTCAGCACCTTTCAGTACACAAGGGTGAGCTTTCACAGAAGCATCAGATCTCACACAACCAATGGCACATCCAGAACTCCCCGTGCATGTTGTGTCCAGGTCTTCTGCCCTTGTGGAAAGCAACTGTGTGAATTCCAGCTCAGTCCTCCAAAGATTTTGTGACAGCACCATTTCCAGTCTCACAGGACAGATGTTCTGGGAATGACTGTAGCAAAAAGGCTGGGAAACAAAGAACAAGGCTCTTGGAATCTTCTCCAGAGAACGTGAAGAAAATCTTTTATCTTCATCAATTCACGTTCCTGCTTTTTCCTTGTTCTTTGTTTGACAAATGGTTTTCTATTTACAGCCAGCACATTTTAATGCCTTCTCCCTCCCCCCAGCCCTACTGGGTTCCTATTTTCTCCTTCTGACAATGTTACCATATGGTTCTATTATTCAGAGATTCCTAAACATGTATTGCAACGGTCCTGAAAAGTAATTAGGTGTTGCTGTGGTGTAAAAGCACATCTGTGATCAATGGCTCCCTCTGGAAATTATGGGATAAAATGTCCCAAGACATTTTTTTATCCTTCCACTTTCTCTCCGCCCCCTCCTATCCCTCCCTGCCCTCTAAAAGTATTATAATAAAGGGAAGAAAGTCTGTGTGAACAGTTGTTTTCATTTTCTTTCTTAAAAGCAATGCACAGTGTGATTGGTGGCTTTTTTCAGCTGCAGCAAGGGAAGGAGATCTCAGGGGAGAAAAAGGTCTATATTTAGACTCTGTACATTTAGAATAGAACTTAATTCTATGGTGATAACCAATGATTTACACCCTTTAATCCAAAAGTCCTCCTGTGCCCTGTAGGGAATACAACATATGTCCAGCAAATTGGTAACCATATGCTTCAGCGAGCAAGCTTCCCTCAGCCCTTCCCTGCTCCACTCCATTGATGGTTCCCTGATAAAGCCGTCTGGTCTCACAATTTACTCTGCCTTTGTTGAAGACTTTGTCAAGGGAAGGGTTATTTTGGGATTCCTTCTAATATTGCACGTTCTGTGTTTCGGAAAGGTTTCAGGCACTTGTTTTTACTGCAGAATTTCACAAGTGAATGGAGGAGTGAAAGTTTCTCAGCTCCTGATGGAAGAGGCAGGCATGTCTCCCACACAACTTTGCCTCCCAAGTGTCTACTGGTAAAATAAAAGAAGATCAGGGTTATAAGAAACAAGTTTCACAGAGGCTTTCCAAAATGAATTTGCTCCTAAACCCGCTGTTTCATCTTATCACGGTATCAACCCTCTGGTCCTGCTGCTGAAACTGCACGGCTACAGTATTTGTACTGAAATAAGACTTCTTTGTCTCCTTGGCACGTCATGAAGTAGAAAGAAAAAGGACACTGATACATGTTTTTCTGACTTTGTGGCCGTTCTTAATGCTATAACAGAGCAGGAGCGGTGGCTGGAAGATGAAACTAGTTCACGCAAAGGGAGACCAAGTGTGTTAGCCTGACGTTACCCTCCTCCGGCAGGAAAGATTATCCCAGATAAGTGACAGCAGGGTAATGTTCAACAAATTAGCTTTACTGATGAGCCCTGAACTCTTGTCAGTATTAAAGCCTGCTAAGTTAAGCAGGCCCAGGCTTTATTATGAGGACTTGCCCTCTGATGCCAATGCAATATAACCTATTTTTTCTTACAGATGCCACGTAGGAGGGGCTCTGGGTCTTGTCCAAAGATCCTAACAGGCTTTTACCAATGGATTTTTACAGTGTACTGACAATGACTGGAGGTGAGTGGGTTTGGTGGTGCTGTGGGTTGGGGTACCCTTTGCTAAGCTCATTGCACAAGCACAGTCTTCGTTCTTTGCCTGCACCATGTCGAGGAGCATGGGGCAACTCAGCCCACAGCCAATGTTTCCGGGCACTGCTGCAACAGTGGTAATCCAGGCAAGCCCTGGACAGTCATGGCAGCACGGTGTCTAACAGTTCACATGCCTTTCTCATGTTCAGACACTTGTTTCCTCCCACTGCATACCCTCAGCCTCTCACAAATTCAGGCTTAGGAAACCAATGTGCTGTCAGTGCTTGTCAGTCCTCTGTCAAAGGGTGAGCAAGCATGGCAGCATTAAGGTTTACCAGCCAGCTCCTCCTCTCAGCAGCCAGGTGCTACTTGGTCATTTCACTGGGGTTTTCTCAGAGGGAGATAAGAATATATGTTTTCCAGACCGCCGTGGTGGTGGAGTCAGCCTGCTGCCGCATAAAGACCCCACTACAAAGTAGGATTCATGGACTGCAGTTCATGGGTGGGTTGTCACAGAAGTGTGGAATCAGGGTTGGAAAGGTAAGAAGCCCATCATCCAGCCTTTCTCATGAGGGCAGCCTCCTCTTTAGCACAAGCCTATATCACAGTGGGGTGATGAAGTATGGGAAGTCAGTGCGATGCCACCAGCCAGAGGTGATGGGAGAACCTGGGGAGAAAGGTACTAGCTGCTGGGGTTATTGGGTTGGGAGACTCAAAGGGACACTGCTGGGCAGCTGAAGCCTGGAATAAAGCTTTGCTTTAATGTGTTTTAATATGCTGAAGAATTGTTTTACAGTTAAAGTCTTGAAGTGACTTGGGAAGTGAGGTGCAGGAGCAAATCGCACATTCTTCTGACTCTCTTAGCCATTTATTAATGGGCATTTCTTTAAGGCACAGACAAAAGCAGTTTCTAAAAAGGAAAAACACACCTTAAATTTTTGCTGATATGTATTTGAAAACCATCTGGAGCAAGTGGAGTAATTGGTGTCAGATGTGAACTCTCCTGGGATGTCAGCAAAGGGATGGGAAATGTCGGTGCTCAGCTTTTACAGGTTGTCTGTGGGCTCCCAGCGCTTCTGAGGTACAAGAACAAAGATCAGCCTTTTCTTTGAGCTCCAGCATCTGCTGGAAGGGGCCTTAGAGATACAGTTCCCATGAGGAAGAGAATATTTGTCCTGTCATAATGTCAAAATCTCTTCCCTTCCTATTCCCAATTTGGCATGGTGCTTGCATATCTCCTTCCTCAGGGTACTTGCTAGGTTTCAGCTACCCACAGGGCAGATAGGGAGACAAGAAATCAAGATTTTTATTCTTGCCTCTGCCAGAATATTCCCATGACCTTGGGTGAACAGATTTCTGTGCAAGACTGAAATGATCATTCATGTAATGCAGGCAGTCATTCCCTATTTGAGAGCAATATGGGAAGTGTGTTTGGTTCACGTTCATAAGATTCAGACCTGAGCTGAATTAGCTTAGGCTGGTTAGGGGAATCTGAGGTTGAGGCTCGAGTTCAATCTGTTTGGTTCATTTTTGAGATTATTCTGGGGAGGCTGTTCAAAGTGAATAGACTTCCCAGCAGATAGGCTACAACGTAAAATAGCTATGCTTATTCTGGAGGAGTAACACCAATTATATATATACACACACATATATATACACACACACACATATATATACGCACACATACATATATATATATAAAATATATATATTAATTCTCCAGAAATATGTAGACTTCAGTGCAAAAGCTATTTTTAGTACAGAAAAGGCTCAAAAAGAAAATATCCCTGGAGAGAGCTGTGCTTTGTTCATTGAATATTGCTGTGTGTCTTTGCTTCTCAACTGCTAGCTGGAAAGGAGCACCAAACAAAAGGCTTTTTGTCGTGAAAATCACCCACCAACCTCTGCCAACTGTCAGTCAGAGAAACAATAAGTTTGAGAGCCAGATGTGCCACCCACCAAAAATGTATATGTGAGCTTGGGTTAAAGGATGGAGAAAGAAATTTGCTCTCAGCATAGTCCACCACAACAGTGCAAAATCAGCTCTGGCAGTACCGCTCCTTCCTCCCATCAAGGGGGTTGATGGGACCATCTGCCTTTCTCTGGGATCAAGTTTTCATGGGCACAGTTCCCATCAGCACCACAAAACGGAAATCATTTGTTCCCAGACCTGATTGCAACACAAGTTGTAATTGAGTCCTTGTCTGTTACAGCCTCAATTGGGCCATAGGCTAATTTAGGATGAACCAAGAATATAGCTGGGAACAAATATGACAGAGGAATGTCATAGGTTGAAACTAAATTTGGCCACAGCTCATAAATGAACAACTGAAATCGCAAATCCCCAGGCAGGCACAAAGGGTTTATGAGGCTGTTCTTGTTCACATGATGCAATCTAAAGGTTTAGTGCCACCAGGAGTAATGACTTTTCACCACTTCCTTTCTCCTTCCTGATGTCAGCTGGTACTTTTGGGGACTGAGGGGTCCCCAGTGACAGTGCACCCTATGTATATGTCAGCACAGCTTCAGATATGGGAGCTGAAATGATGGCAAATGCACTGGGTTGAGTTGAAGGTTCAGTTGAAGGGGACCATCCAAGAAGGCAGCTGATTGCTTTAGGTGTATCCTGAAATCATAGGAATAGTATATTTGATACTGGCTATTTCAGCCAGACTTCAAGCTATTCAAAACAGTTATCTGCCCAGCAAGCCCAAAGTTACAGTACCATGTGCTGAGTTTGCCTCAATGGACAAGCAAAGGGAGCAACCACCTTTAGGCACAGTGACAGCTACTACAGTAGAGCAGGTTTAACAGAGCATCAAGAGGGGCATCTCCAGTGGCTTTTCAGCATTTACCAAAGCAGTGGTAATTTGAAGTAGGAAAGGTGTTTCACAATAGAAGTAATTCACTTTTACCCTGAGGTAAACACGTATGCCATAAATAATGCTATAGGTATTAGGTAATCCTGGGGTATTTTTGTCTCTGGTGGCTGGTATACACTGAGCTCAGGATTCCTGCTATCCAGTAATTCCCAAATACTTTGTTTGGCATGTCAAATCACAGGCCTCCCTGCAAGGTGCTCAGCCTGGTGTCCTGTTGTAGGTGGCAGAGGGATGTGGTACAAGTGTAACAACACTGATTAGGTGTGTGAGTTACTTCTGTTTTGGTTTTTAACCAGGAGAGTTGTAAAGCTCCTTGTGAGTATGATGTGTATTCCCTTCCTGCTCTGCAGACTGTGCCTCTCTGCTGGGTACAGGTGGGACTGCTTAATGCAAAGTATTATCTCCCTGTGTGCCCTGGGTACTTTTTAGAATTCTTCTTATCCAAGACAGCATTCAGTTGTACTTTCACCATACATAGCCAGGGAGGAGTTGCTCATATAATCCCTGTCTCAAGGGCTGTGTTCAGAAGCCATGTACTTGGGCTGCAGCTCTAGCTGCATCATCTTTGGGTTTTATTCCATTACCCGTAGATATCAGATATATTCAAGTCCTCTCCTACTTTGCAGAAAACATTAATCAAAACAGTTATGTGGGGCTGAGCTGGCCATTGCCCAGAAATATTATATAAGAGCTGCACAGCTACTGACAAGAACAGAGCATCTCCATCAAGCCCATAGCCAGCTATGCTTACGTTTCCTCCCTCTCTGCCTCAAAAGAAGTCTCTCAATTTTTCCCGATGACGGAGCAATAATACGCTGCTCTTTACAAAGCCAAAAAACCTGCTCGTGTTCGACTATAGCACAGAAAGCTGCAAAGCAGGCTTTCAATAGATAATAATGCTTTAGTGCAGCTCCATACGCGACAGAAATTGTTTGAGGGAAGCAAGATGCCAGAATTAGAAATTCAGTGCCGGAAAACAGCATGCATTTCCTGTCACTGTGATGTTATTATGTAGAAAAGGCTGCTGCCAGGCCAGCTCTTCTGTATTTCGCTTTGCTAAATAGAGAGAATCTACCCAAATATCAGCCCTTTTCAGCACAGTGATCTTCTTAGTAACCTCGATTGGCCCTAACAGACTTAGTCTGTTGTAGCCTACTTGTAAATAGGTGTCTCCTAAATAACCTTCTGCCTGATTCCTGGTATGACACCAAATCATTCCTTCATTTGCCCTGTTGGTAACTCAAGCGATGATCTGGAGAGACTGGTAACTAAATGGGTGACAAGGAGAGATTTCCTGGCTCTCTTGGTGCTGCTGACCAGATTGACTCCTTATTCATGGCAAAATCAGGGGTACAGCACTTCTTGTCATCTAAAGGCACAAACTTGGACCCCTATCACAAGCCCTCCCATCTGTGTCCCCATTATCCTGGTTTATAACACAAAAATGATCCACTACTTTTCAGACTTGAAGCACTCTTTTGGAGGTAATTTCATCTTGCTTATCCTTGCACTGAGCTCAGTAACTTCTGGGGGGTTTTGGTTTGGTTGTTTTTAAAGCACATCCCTCAGAAATGCACCCTTGTTTTCCCTTAGAACACCCTGGGATGAAGAGTCCAGCCCTACCATGGTTAATGCGGGCACAAGTGATGCAGGAGTGACGCAGAAAGATCTGCAATTCAGCTGTCACCTTGTTTGTGCCTGTTGAAGCAGCTGTATCAAAGCTCATGTAACACTGGGGAGGGGGCAAGGCTTGTTGTCAGCATTTAGGTCTGAAAAACTGGAAATGATGGGTCCTGTCACACAGATTCCAAATTGAACTAAAATCCTTTCAAATTAAGACAAAAAACATCTACAAATCAAAAGGCCGAATTCTGAAACGTGTGATGGGTTATACCCAAGTGAGTAATGCCACGCCATTGCTTCCTGCCAGTCCAATGACTCTTCTGGATGGGGTGAGTCAGCCAAGGAGTGAAAGTTGAACTGTTACCTTGTCTCTCTGGAGAGAGGTTTGGCAAAAGCAGTCTTGTCCACATGCTGCAGTGAGGAAATTGTGGCCCTAGGGACAAGCTGGCCATTTCAGGTCACTCTCCCATGACTTGGCAGTTGGGAGCTGCATTTCCACACTGCCAGGAACTGCCTCTGCCCTTTGCACTGGCTGGCATCTGTGCCAGAAGCTTGGGGGTAAATGGCTGCAGTCTCTGCTTGGTTGTGAAACTTGCTATAGGACACTCTGAATTCAACTGGTTCTTATGCTGATGGACAGGGAACCCCATAGGTACAGGGCATCAGGCTCAAGCCTCTGAATCAAGTGATTAGAGTTATTTCTTTATGGTCTCAAAAGGCTGTTGTGTTTCCCTTCTAAAGAGGATGAGCTACTCATCTGAGAAGCAAATGCATGTCTTATTTTGACATGCATCTTTGCCTGCAGTCTTGCATCCAGTTTCTGGTGACCACTGAACCAAGGTGGATCAACTTGAAGCTGATATTTCTTTTCAGGGGTACAGAAGGCTCATGAGATCGTTTGATGCACTCAGGAGAGTGGAATAAGGGTCCCACTCCCACATTGCCTAAAATCAGGCATTCACAAATCCGTAATCTCAGGAACTCATTACTGGGATGTTTGTTACTTCACATCAGCCCAGCTTTACAGAACTGCCTGTGCTGACCTCCGCTGTGGTGTTTGCCACAAAGGAAAGATCTGCTGTCATGAAACTTCTGCCACTAAGTTTTAATGGCCTTTACCCACATGAGGCCAGAAGGAATTGTGCAGTGTACTGATTTGTTTATTTTGTGTGTGTAAATATATATTTCTATATCAATTTGTATATATAATATATATAATTAATCCCCAAATACTGTTGGCTCAACTAATCTTTTAGAAGTAAACTCTTCCACCCATGCAGAGTTTTTTATTTGCATCGTATCAGTGCTGGGGATCCCCAGTACGCACACAGTGTGTTGGATTGCAACTGATAAAGCAAATATCTGTTTTTATTATTCTGTGTGACGGATGCACAATGAGCTCTCACTAAAAAAGGTCAGCACTCAGGCACGTCACCTTACAGGTGGTTCTGTGACATTGCTAGTGCAGTTCAGTTTCTGGTTTCTTTTATGTCATCTTCTAGTGTTTCACATGAAAGTTCACGGCTGAGGTAAATGTACTCAGTGGGAACACTGAGCATGTGCTTTATCTAGCTGTGATGAATTACATTTCTCTAGAGTGCTGGGATTTATGCTTTGGGTTTGCATGGCAGCCCGTCGTCCCCTGAATATCTGGCTCCATCTTTCTGCCACCTCCCTTCTTGGTGCTGGCACTTGGGATGGGGAGAAGGATCAGCTTCTACCTGCCTGAAAACCTTTGTCAGGATTTTGGTTTACAGCTGGGTCAGCCAGCCTTCCTGGCGCTGCACCTAACCCTGTGATGACCGGTACCCAAACAAGAGAGCTGATGACTGTGCATGGCAAGGAGAAAGCAGACTCGGATTGCCTTAAACTGATCATGGAAACAAATTCTTTAGTGAAAGCTGCTAGTCTGTGTTAGCACTGGTTCTCCTTCCATGCGTGTGACAGCCATCATACCTCCCAGTGCTGCCTGGGTTTCCTGCTTGGATTTGTTTCCAGAGTCTTCCCTCTCCCTAAGGTCCAGCTTTGAGGTAGGTCAGGCCACATTAGGGAGCTGAACAGAGACTCCAGTTTTCATCTAAGTAAATCTATCTGGGGGATTTACATTGCACCCTTACCTCAAGTTTCACTTCTTGCTTCTCATTCAAGGGAACTACAGAGCCCGAAACAGAAGTTAGCTGAAGCCACAATAGCTCCCTTGTTATCTTTCTTCTTTTTGTAGCAAAGACACAAGAAACTCAGTTCCCAGGTTTTGCTGAACTTACTGGCCAACATAGTTTAGCAATCTTACCAAGCCAAGGCGTTTGATGGGACCAGAGCTGGGAGTGCATCCTTTGATGTTGGGTTGGTGGTGAGAGGTTTGTGCTTTTAGGGACAACTTCTGCCCCTGGTTTTGTGCTTCAGGTGCTGCTGTGTGTTTCTAAGCCAAGTTGGCTAGATGGCGCTGGAATATACTCGTGTCTTGGGAGGAAGAGGACTAGGTTAGGATCAAGTCAAAGGATAGATTTAGGGTGACACTGTTCTTTGGTGCAAACACGACTTCATGAGCCTTTCATGAAGAAACGGAGAGGGAATCTCTTCCTTTTGCTGTATCCTGCAAGCATTTATACTTCGGATAAGGTGACTGTGGGGCTCATGATCGCTCCAGGTGTCTTTGAGCTGGGGTCGGGGTCTGTTAACACGTTGGTACAGGATGTCCCTTACAGGGCCACCTGGTGGGGAAGGCTCTGCTTCTCTTAGTCTGAGAAATCCCAGTGACAATGAGCAATATGCCTTTGGTAAGACTGCTGTTTTCTTTGAAGAACCAGGAGGCACGATTTAGGGGAATTAGCAGTTACCTCACTCCTGACATAGAGAGTGTCTTGTAAGTGAAGTCTGAGCTCTGCGGTGTTCGCAGACTGCTAGCTGAGGTGGGAAATATTTCTTCTGTGGTTGCTTTTAGGAGAAGAGCACTGTTAAGGTGTGCTCACCAAGTGGAGCTGTAGGAAACTGTAGTAACGGTGTAGAGACTTCTAACCTCTGTTCTGAGGGTGTTGAATGGTTGTTTTAAAATACAGCCATGTTTTGTGTGGCCTTTGATTGTCTGACGAAAGTTGCAATGCCACCTGGCAGTTGAGCTCCAGCACTGGGTATCTGCGCTGGTCCCAGACACTCAGTGTAGAAGTCCTGTGTAGTTTGTGAGTGCTCTAGCTGGTCTCCTCCATCAGACAGCATCATGTAAGGCAACGTACTCCACTTGGGATCCTATAAAACCACGCAAAATGTGAGAGGGCCTCTAAAAATAAGTGCTTGCAAGGCATCTCAGTTTCTTTGCTTGTCACCAGTCATCCCTTCTGAATGCTCCTTTCTTCACCTATCTGAGATCTTGAAGTTCCTGTGGTCTGAGAACAGATTAAATCAACGTTTGAAGAACTTTGAGTCTTGGGCAGCTGCTTCTCAGTTGACCAAGGAGGGAGCTGAAGGCAGTCAATGAGCAGAACTGATTCTGGTCTGTATCCAGGTCATGGCAGCTCTGCTTTATTTCAACAGCCCTCTGCTACAAACAAGTTGCAGTCTCTAGGGCAAAAGACACCATTTCTGTCACTGTTATTAATAGTTGCTAGAGGATTTGGTGCAACATGCTTGGGACTTGAAAGCCTACAGCAATTAAGTGTTCATGTCCTAATGCTGGACTCCTAAGAGTGCTTTCTGGCACCTGCCTCATAGGAGCTGTGTGTCTTCAAAGGCTGAGTAAGTCAGACAGGAGAATAGCTAATTGGGCATGACTAGAAATAGCATGAAAAGCTTAGCAAAGGAAATGGCATTCCTCATGGGGATATCTATGAGGCAGCATTGCAAAGGAAGTGGTTGAAAGCCATGAAACTTGTGTCACTGCAGGGTGAGTTGAGCAAAGCGCTGAGGCAGGGAATGGTCATGGGCTGCTCACAGATGACCTTCAGGATTACAGTGCCCAAGTCCAGTGGCTGGGATCTTCCTTTGCAGAAGAAAACTGGGCGGAAATCCCTGCAGCTGAGCAGTCCCATGACATCCCCACCTTTTCAGTGGCATAGCAAGACTGGCAAGCAGAGGAATTCTCCAGAGTTTGGGTAGAGCTGAAGTCTATCTTCTCAGACCCTTCTGGACCCATCTGCTGGCTCTGCCCCAGTTCAGCCCACTCCCTTAGGGTCAGTTGTTAACCTCTACCGGCCTGTGCTCCTCCAGAAGACCGAGAGGCACACGCTGCTTTGTATATGGAATTCTCAGTCTCTGAGGGAAAGGCACTGCCCAGACCAACCATTGCAGTTCTCCCACCCCCAGTTATCCCACAGCTTCATTCCCACGTTGTAGCAGTGAAGAGGAAACAGTGAACTAGACCAAATGCATTGCTGTTATTTAGTCACTTCGGCCACTGACCTCCTCCTTCCAGACTTTTGTGGAAAGGTGGAATTTTCTGTAAGTCTCAGCTATTTGGTTCTAGCCTGAGAACCAAACAGATAAGCACACAGGCTGTGGGACCTGTATTTTGGGTAGGTGTGCTCTTTGTTTTGTCTGAGGGTCAGAGATTGCTTCTGAAATCAGTGCATACAATGAACCAGACAAGCTGAGTTTTTTTCCTTAGGGAAGTTTACCAGAATAATTATACTTTATGTTACACCAGTATTTCCACCCCATGTGAATGTTCTTATTTTGAAATAAGTGTGTCCAAACAGAGCTATACGGGTGTTCTTAGCAATATAATTATGCTAGTAAATTCTGAGTGGAGGGCAGCCTCTAGACACCGGTGTTATTTTGTAGGTGAAAAGCATTGTTACAGACAACCATCATCTTCCGATTGCCACCAATCTGGTGTTGACTTACATTGCTACTTATTTTCACACTCTCATTTTTTCAGACTCTTTTGGAGTCAACTTTAATTATTTCAGTACCTGAGAGCCTTTTCCCCCGCCTCCCCAGCGCACCTGAAACGCGCAGCTCTCATTTCCAGGTTGAACTGGATGACAAACACAAGTGCAATTTGAAAACCTGGCAGTTCTGAAAAGCCAGTGCAGAATGTCATTACACACAAACCCCTTCAGTACAACAAGTGGCTCTCCCCACCAGCCCAGTACCAGTGCACTTAGTGATTTAGGCTCAGTGTTATTGTCAGTATCTTTTGCAGATGGCAACAGCTTATGCCACGTGAGAGGGAAGGGAAATTTCCTAGCAGGCTGCCCTTATGTACAAGCTTAATAGAGACACCTTTAGAAGGGCTCTGTTGTTAATTAGAATCACAATTCACCCCGGGATATTGATGCAGGCTGTGCTTGCAATGTGTGCACAACCATGGCTCTCGGAAATGTGTTTGGCAGAGCAAACAAGAGACACGC